CCATTCAGTCCAGAACCTTTTGTCTTCTCGTCTGTTGTCCAAAAACATAGAAATTAGAATATAACTATCTGTTTGCCTGTGGTTCTGTATGGGTGTGAAACTTGGTCTCTGACATTAAGTGAGGAACATAGACCGAGGGTGCTTGAGAACAGAGTGTTGAGGAAAATATTTGGACTGAAGAGGGATGAAGTGACAGGAGGTTGGAGAAAACTGCATAATGAGGAGTGTTATGCCTCAGGGTTAAGGCAAGAAGTTGTATTTTTAAAGTTATTATGTTTTTTTGGGTTAACTAGTTTAGGGAATTGAACTAGGGAAGTTTGGAAAAAACCTGGGCAAGAAAGGTTCAGTGAATGTAGAAATTTGCCGCGTTGCGTCTTACTGCTGACCAACACGGAAATCGCCACGCAGAAAGGACAAGTAGCCTAGAAGTTGCTGAATCAAGGAAGGTGGGTAAACTGGGAGACGCAACCCCCTTCCAGTAACCAGCCAATAGAAGAACACCACCCTGAGAGACAATTACGTCAGGCAGGGAGGAGCGAACCCCTGGAAGCTGATGAGTTAACAGGGAAACGAGTATAAAATGGCTAGGAGAAATTATAATAAAAATATTTTGATCAATAATTTGAGTAGAGTGCTGCCGGAGGCTATCCCCAAAATAGCGTTGAAAGTGTGTTGGCTGGGAACGATCTTCTGCATCCTGAACTCAAGTAAGTGGACCTACTAATTATAGCCATGGAACTTAAAGTGATATTAGTAAAGTGCAAACACCCCGAGGCTAGAAGCAAGAACGTAGAGCAAGAGTAGGATAGGAAAAACAACCTGTGAGTGCCAGGTATAGGAACCCGCAGCGGGTGAGAAAGGCTAAGGATGTTGGAGCCTAGTGTGTATTCATTTACCGACATGTGTAAATTATTGTTACCAACCAGAGTGTAATGTATAATTTGTATATAATGCCAGAGGGAAGAATAGAAAGTAGTAGGGAAGCTGTGTCACGTCAGTGAACCCCGTCCTACGGATGCCTCCCTCTCCCCCATTGTCCATCACCAGTCCAACCGCCCAAGGTGCATGGCGATCTCCAAGCCGACAAGGCAGTGAGTGAGAAGAATCCCCTAGCTTCCTAGCCCCCCCCCCTTACCAAAGGCAGTACAATGGGTGACAGCGGTGGTATGAGCCAACGCAGAGACAGCTGACGAAGAATTTAGCATTTTCTTTAACCACCCCTGTCACCGCGGTAGCACAGTGGTGACAGCGGTGGGATAACGAACCACCCCTGTCATTACAACAGTACAAGGAGCTTCATAATTTGTACACTTCTCCACGTATAATTAGAATGATCAAGTAAAGGAGGATGAGGTGGGCAGGTCACGTAGCACGAATGGGGGAGGCGAGGAATGTGTATAGGATATTGGTGGGAAATTCAGAAGGAAAGAGACCAAAGGGAAGACCAAAGCATAGGTGGGTGGACAGTATTAAAATGGATCTTAGAGAGATAGAATGGGATGGTATTGATTGGATAGATCTGGCTCGGGATAGGGACCGGTGGAGGGCTCTTGTGAACACAGTAATGAACCTTTGGGTTTGATAAAATGCTGGGAAATTCTTGAGTAGCTGCAGAATTGGCGGCTCCTCCAGAAGGGCTCAGCTCCATGAGTAAGTAAGTAAGTAATTCAAGAGCTGGGATAGTGTAGTCGGTATAATGATTAGCTACTTTGCTGGATGACTGAGGAGTCGGAGTTCGAGTCCCAGTAAGGTCATGAATTTTCTCGTACAGCAGTGTAACGCGAAATCTGTACATAAATACCTTACTACTTGACTGTTGCCATTTATAACTCCCAAACGTTTGCTCCATCCCATTTTCTATTACATTTCACCCTGTAATAAGCTTCAATGTTTTATTACATTTATTTTATGTCAGTATGGCTATGCACTGAACAGTGGGTTTGATTCCCGGCAGGGGAAGGATTTTTATCTTGTTCATAAGATCCTGACCAACTCTGGGATCCACCCAACCTCCTATCCAATGGGTACCTGGACTCTTTTCCCCAGGCGTAAAGCAGCAGGGTGTGAAGCTGACCACTCACCTCCAGCTAGTGCCTAGGTCAAGAAACTGTGGATCTGTGCATCCACTCCCCCATATGCCTTCATGGTGTAGTGCTTAATTAATTAAGCACAGGGACAACTTTACCTTTTTTTTTTTTTTCCATCAAGTTGGCCCAAGATGTAATGCTTCTTTATTTGGGATGTTCCCCTCCCTATTCATATCTTTGGAGGGCATTGACAGTTTTAATATGGGTCTTGTCCCAGTCAAATATCAGGGTAATATCTTGGAACAGACTTGGACTGCTTTCTCACTAATCCTCTCATGTAATTTTATACTAAATAACCTCCGCAATTACTGCATGATCATTGCCTATGATCTGTCCATCCATTTTAAGACTAGTCAGCCAGGCCATGAAGCTTTGTAATCTGATGTAGGTAACCGGGAAATTATCCCTGTGCTTAATTTATATGTTGATATCATAATGTGAATGGACACAGCATTGCTACGTAACTGACCGCTAAACCCCTTGCGACAGATTACATGCAAAGCAACAATGGTGGTTCAGCATTTTCTATGCAGTCGGTGTCATGACCGTTGCTATGTGATCACTAAGTAAACATGTTCCAACAATATAGGCTGTTTTCTGCATGGTCGGTGTGGACGCTATATAACGACAGTTAGAGACAGAACAGAGGAGAGTATTTGAGAGTGTTTGAGCGTGTTTAAGTAACAGCAACTTGAAGTTCGTAGAAGACCTGTGAAGATTTAAATTGTGATTTGAAGACCTTAAGTATGTGTAATGCTTGGAGTGATCTGAAGTGTTAGTTCCTGTGATTTCATTGCATTACCAGGAGAGGACTAGTGTCCATGTAACCATGAATTATGAGGTGTATGTACATCAGTGATAGCACTGTATTTGGAGTGTAATTAAGAAGAGTATGTAACCAAGCTGCTGATAAATCCAATCATCCGAACTAGAACCCATCATTTTGTCACACGTACCCCTCTACACATGACAATATAATTTGACAACTGCTGGATACCCACCTGTTTAGGGGATGTTAACTTTTTCACAGGTGTGAAATATCACTGGATGAAACTCATAATAGTCTGCAAGATGGACACTGTGATGGCCACTATGAGAATTTCAGGTTATTTTGAAAACTTTGAATTAACCCAGATACTGAGTAGATATATATAAACAGTATGTTGATGTGTTATAGACTGAGGGTGTTTGATAACAAGGTGCTGGGGAGAATATGTGGAAAAAAGAGAGATGAAGTGACAGGCTGGAGGAAACTGCGTAATGAGTAGCTTCATAACTTGTACTCTTCTCTAAGTATAATTAGTATGGTCAAGTGAAGGAGGATGAGGTGGACAAGGCATGTATTATTTATGGGGGAGAAAAGGAATGCGTATAGGATTTTGGTGGGAAGGCTAGAAGAAAAGAGACCACCATGAAGACCTAGACATAAGTAGGAGAATAATGTTAAGCTGGATCCTAGAGAGATAGGGTGGGGTGGTGTAGACTGGTTTGATTTGGCTCAGGATAGGGGCCTCTGGAGGGTTCTTGTGAAGATGGTAAAGAACCTTTGGGTTCCATAAAATGTTGGGAAGTTCTTGAGTAGATGTCCAACTGGCAGCTTCTCAAGAAGGACTCAGCTCCATGGAATTAGTTGGAGCTATGCTCATATGTTAAGCACCATGGCATGGGAGATTGGAGATACAACTCCATGCATTCTGTAGACAGAGGTGCCCCGGCTACTGTACCTCTTTGGTAAGTAACCAGCACCCATTGCATAGGAGGCTGGGTGAATGCACAGCTGGTCTTGACACTGCAGAGAAGAGAAAAATCTCTCACCCTTGTCAAGAATGATATCCTGATTCCTGAGTTGTTCAGCCTGTAGTGACACTGCCCTTTTTTTTTTCTTTTCATTTCTTTCAGAATAGAGTCTCATTTGGGCACCACTTTTTGTAACCACCCTTTTTCTCTCCTCTTCCTTCCACTTACTCCTTGTCTATGGTTGGGCACCATGTGATATAACCACCCAGGCCTTAACGAGCCTTGCTCTGACAAGAGAGGGTTTCTTGAAGAAGTCACCGGACCACACTTTACTAGTGTAACGATAAATTTATTTTTGACAGCACTACACGATATTATACAATATTCCTTCTAAGCTGATATTGGTTATAACCCCGATATAAACTTCTGAATTTAGGAGACCGTTTACTTAGTTACTCTGGTACACAACTGTACTGTTCACCACTAGTCATACACGACAGTAGTACTCAATACAATGTATACACTGAATACTATGAGTACACACTCTCTGAATGCTACACACACTCTGCTCTGTTGTCTGCAGCGCCATCTTAAATCAGCCTTTAAATACTCTCAAATGACATAATACTTCCAGAATCTTTCATATTGAGATTTTTTTTAAGCTTCCATACTGTTCTACAGTTGAGAATGTGGTGGAAGTTTCTTTAATACATATACTGCGCTGGCTATCAAAGATCTTTCTGATAGCTCTAATCCAAATATTCCTTGCCACAAATTCACAGAATTGTTACAGCAAAAGTGGGTATAAGTCACTTTTAGTACAAGATTTGTATTAAGTCCTGAGTACTAATGAAATTTAAATTTATATTGTGGCTAGTAATATTTAAGAATGAAGCTGGTAGGCAGTGATTAGTTACAGTAACATAGTCAGTATATTGACTGAGCTGCCCTAGCTCCCTGTGTTCATTGCCATGGAAACCTCAGATCTTACATTAATTCCTTTATTCTCTGTTTTTATCTTTAATTTAATTATAAATGTTCATTGCCATGGAAACCTCAGATCTTACATTAATTCCTTTATTCTCTGTTTTTATCTTTAATTTAATTATAAATTTGTTTGTTTCTTGTGTCTTTATTCACCAGTCTCTCCAGTGATTCATTTAAAAAACTTTTATTTTTACCATTTTTTGATCATGATCCATATTTTAGAGATGTGCTGTCTTACAATAGCTGCCTCTTCCTTGTTCCCTAAATGCCCAACCATATAATGAAAGTTAAAAGTATGGGTGATTTTAGTTTACCTCAGAAATGATGTTCATAGCTTGTACAGAAGTTCTGGGCTATATGAGACATTGGTTGTTTGACAAGAGTACAGAAAATTGTAAAGAACAAAAAGTTGATGCAGATCATATGTCTCTGATCTCAAGTGTCAGATTGTTTACCTAGGATTAACTGTTACAGTGCTACATTCTTTATGTGTCAGTAGTAAAAAGTTATGTTGCTGCCAGGATGTTATGTTTCCAGGGTATGGGGAAGTGGTAGCAAAGCAGAGTGTGGCCAGCTGTGTCAAAATGTTGCAAGTCCTCAAAACCAACATGTGTATGGAAAACCATATACATTTGTACGTCCATTGCGTTGAATGTTCTAACTGGAACCTCCTCTTCTACCATGAAGATGGAGGCAGTGTGTTCCTCTAGAATATGTCCGTCTGTCAGACTACATGGTGTCACATCACAGAAGATACTAATCTTTATCCATTTTCAGATATTTCAGGCAGGACTTCGATTTAATACAAAGCAGATGCAGTTCCATGGAAGCAGTCTGCCATTTGATCATAGATGGAATGGTTTTGGTTTGTATTTACAAAGACACAAAAGCCAGAGGGAAGGGGGGCTTTGTCCAGTCTACTGCTTCTTTTCCTTGTGGCCATTGTACATACTGTCTCCATGGCTGCTAAGCGCAGTAAGATACTTTGATGCTGATTGCAGGGCCCCAGAAATCCTTACTCGTAGTGGCCATGGAAAAGCAGTCGATTGGTGGTCACTAGGTGCCCTTATGTATGACATGCTAACGGGTGCGGTAAGTATCTGAACTTGTCTGGGAAAGAGAATTTTTTGTTCCTTAGTGATTTTGTATTGAGATGAAGCCAGTGTCAAGTGTGTGGAATTATTAAATAAATTGTAATAAACATTTCCAGAAACTGTCTTATCAACATTATAAGACCTATCACATCACTATTAAGTTCAAGAGCTCTATAAGATGATTTACCATGTGTTTTATGTGGGTGTGGAACATTACAGGTGTTCAGAAACAAAGTGCAATGGGGGATGTTTAAGCTAGCAGGAGATGAGTGCTGTGGAGAATTTTACATAATAGAAAATATTATTTATATACGTTAGAGTTGAAATTTTCGTAGCAGCGACTATCTTCTGGGATGTGACGCCATGAAGGGTGGTAGCAGTTTACCAACATTTTGGAGGAACGTACTGTCTCGTCTAGGGGATTGAAGAGTAAGTGAAGCAAGCAGCTCGCTCTTGCCATTAATCCATGAAGATGAAGGCAGTGCTTTCCTCTGAAATTTCAGTAAAGTTTTACCAGACCATACAGCATCACATCCAATTCATTATTTGTACAGTTCATGCATTGTTCAGTAGTATAAGCAGGGAAGTCACAAGAGCTGGGAATGTCATTCAGATGCATACATAAGAAATCTAGTTTAGAAGCCTCTTGGTTGCTTGAAAGGCTGAGAAGGAGGAAGAGAATATATGCTTGAATCATGTGCAAGTATGAGTATGAGGGGTGAGCCATAAAAACCGGCCCTCGCACTGCGACCTTCAATGATCTATTGTGCTTCTCCTTTGGATTAACCCTTTATTAATCCTTCACTTCAAATGAAATGTAGGACTTTATTTATGGGAGCGTCATAAAAGTCACTTGGTTCCATGAAGAACTGACTCAGATGGTGATATCTTAGGTAAGCTATAGCCTCACAATCACATAGGATGTGTATGGCTGATTCATCTTCTTGTAGGCACCTCTCACAAGTTGGGCTGCTTGTCACTCCCAGTTTGATAAGGTGCCCTTTTAGGTGGCAGTGTCCCACCCATATTAATTGATCTCCGTTTAATTTTAACAGGTCCCTCGTTCTTTTGGCGGAGGGTCCTGATATAAATCCTTTTGCCTGTTTGAATCCAATTGTGGATTACCAGTGTTTTTTTGTGATTTCTGTTAGCCCAGTCCCTGATCGCTTTCTTGGCAACTCCAATTGGGATGCCGCAAGCTGGTTCAGGTCCTCTGAACGGTTGTTCAGATCCTGTTCTTGCCAGCTGATCTGCGGTTTCATTCCCAACAATACCTTCATGGCCTGGCACCCATATCAGCTTAACTCTTATTATGTCTGGCCAGTTGTGTGAGGGATTGGTGGCAATCCCAAAGCAATTTTGAAGTGATTTGGTGTGTACCAAGTGCTTTGATTGCAGCTTGACTATCTGATAGAATATAGATATTCCTATTTTTGTAGTGTCTGTCTAAATTCTCGACTGCACATGCCTTAATGGCATACACTTCTGCCTGGAATACCGTTGTATACTGACCAAGGCTGAAACTGCGTTTCTGCCCTGTTCCATCACAATACACTCCAGCTCTAGTGCCTTTATTTGCCTTGGAACCATCTGTATACCAGATTAGTCCCCCGTTTCTATCGGGTTGAAACCCCTCTTTCCATTCACTTCTATCAGAAAATCTGACCTTGAAGGGTTTATCATAGACATGTTTCAGTATAATTTTATCAGATCCCATCTGTAGGATTGGTTCCTTTTTCATGTCCTGAATCATGTATGCATGTCCAAAACCTTTGGATTTAGGTCTCCATTGATCATTGCAAAGTAATCTGTAATTTCCTAACTTGTCGTCTGCTTCCATCTGTAGATGCAGTTGGGGGAGTTCTAGTAGGATTTCCATTGCAGCCGTTGGAGCTGTTCCCGTTGCTCTCGTAATTCCCAAGCAGGCTGTTCTTTGTGGTTTACTAAGTTCTGCCTGGCATGTTTTAAGTTTAACTCTAGGCCGCCATATAGTGGCAGCATATGTAATTATGGGTCTTAATACAGCAGTGTATATCCAATACACCACCTTTGGTTTCAGTCCCCAGGTTTTTCCAAACACCCCTCTGCATGTCCAGAAGGCATTATAGGCCTTGTTAATAGCCTTGTCCAGCTGTTTTTTCCATGTCAGTCCTTGTCTAATGTTATTCCAAGGTACTTGACTTCACTGGATAGCCGGATCACTTGACTGAAGAGGATTGGTTCCTTAAGCCCCTTGATATTTCTCCTCCTAGTAAAGGGTATAATTACCGTCTTGTTTGGATTGATAGACAAGTTTGTTCTTTCGCACCCCTGTTGAACTGTGCACAGGGCTGTTTGTAAGACCTCTGGCACAGTGTAAGGGAATTTCCCATTGATTAGGATTTCTGTATCGTCAGCATACCCTACTGTGAAATGACCTTTACTGTTGAGCTCCCAAAGAAGATCATCATCGACCAGGCTCCACAGAAGAAGGGAGAGAACACCTCCCTGCGGACACCCTCTCGCCGCAGAAATCTCAGGGTCTCTCCAGACAATGTAGCACTTATATTCTTGCTTTCCAGCATAGCACAGATCCATCTGCTTATTGCAGGCTCAATGCCATGCCTTTCAGCAGCCTGTTTTATTGTGTCAAAAGAGGTTCTGTCAAAGGCTCCCTCTATGTCAAGGAATGCTCCAACGGCAATATGCCTGTGTTCGATGGCATTTTCTATATGTGTTACCACATAATGCAGTGCGGTTTCAGTAGATTTACCTATTTGGTAAGCATGTTGTTTTTGGTGCAGAGAATGAATCTTCAATGCACCGTCCCTAATGTATCTATCTACTACTTTCTCAATCGTTTTCAAAAGGAAAGACAACAGGCTGATAGGATGATAAACCTTAGCCTCAGTATAATCAAGTTTCCCGGGCTTCAGTATAAATGTCACTTTGACTTGCCTCCAGGCCATAGGGATAAACCGATGCACCATGTAGGCCCTAAATATGCGGCATAGGTGTGGGACTAAATGTTCCAGCCCTTGCTGCCGAAGTGCTGGAACAATTTGATCTGTTCCAGCAGACCTAAATGGTTTGAAGGTACCTAACGCCCATCTAATTTTTGATTGATTGATTACCCGACCAGCCAGGTTCCAGTCTCCCCTGTTCGTTATGTGTCTACATATGCCCCGGTTCTGCTGGACCCGCCCATCACCTGTAACATCTGTCAGCTTTGAATCAGGGAAGTGAACTCTGAACAGTTCTTTCAGTGTTCCTTTCCCAGTTGGATATACTTACCATCAGGTAGCTTGATAGTACTGACCTTGCTGGTCGCCTTTTTGCTATGACCCTCATGAGTCTGGCACTGCCTGGTAAATCATTGATCTCCTGGCAGTACCTCCTCCATGAGGATCGTTTGGCATTCCTTATTTCTTTATTATAACAGGTGAGAGTTACATTGTAGGTATCCCACTGCCCTGTTCTTTTTGCTATATTAAATAGTTTTCTTTTTTTAGCTCTTAGCCCACTCAGCTTGTTATTCCACCAAGGTGCATTTCTTGGTAAGCGAGTGGTCTTGGCTGGACAAATATGATAATAGGATAAGATAATGGCCTGTTGCAACTGGTCAACAGATCAATCTATGTCCCTTATCGTGCGTATACTTCACGAAATAATCTCCAGATTCACCTTTAGGTCATCCTTGTATGACTCCCAATTGGTTCTCCTAGGATTCCTAAAGGTAACTTGTTTTGTTGTCATGTTACCTATTTGAAAGTATATGTATCTGTGGTTCGATAGAGATGGCTCGCCAGATACGTGCCAATTACTTACCACGTTTTCTATTTTCTCTGTTCCTATTGTCAAGTCAGTAACCTCCTTCCTCTTACAAACCACAAAGGTACGTTCATTACCATTATTTAGAATATTCAGGCTCGAACTCACCAGAAATTCCATAAGGCTTTCTCCCCTTGCATTGGCGCCAGTTATCCCCACAAAATGTGGTGTTCATATGAATCGTATGATTAACATAAATTTCAGGTCATATTGCATAATGATATAGCATGATAAAACACATTGTTGCTTACTCTTCATTCCATTTGTTGCAGCCACCATTTACTGCAGACAATAGAAAGAAGACAATAGAGAAGATACTGAAAGGAAGGTTGAACTTACCGCCATATCTCACACCAGACGCCCGGGATCTCATACGAAAGTTGCTAAAAGTGCGTACCAGTTCTATACAGTCATACTGTAATATAATGACAGTGTAGAAAATAAATGTAAGTGCTCTTTCAGACAGTTATTTGTGATATCAGAAAATGTATGAATTGCTATAATATTGTATCAAAATACTGCACTAAAATTTAAAGAAATTAATGTGACTAAAGCAATATTTATTCTTTTTGACATACAATGAAAAGTTGCAATAATGGACCTGTTAGGTTCACCATGTCTATCTGTGCACATGAAACAACTTGAGAACTGCTAAGTGGGTTTTCGTGAAATTTGATATTTGAGGGTTTTACTAAAACCTTGTTGCCATGTTTCAATTTTTGTTAAAACCAGACAATCATAAGGGATACTTTACATGAGGACATGTGCATTTATGGGCATATTTCAAGCATAATTCTCTAAATATTTATCACAGTGAAAAATGTTTCAAATGAAAGTTGTTAATAAAAATTAAATACATTTTAGATTGAGTACACTTTTCTTGTGAGTCATACAGTTTTGGGGTAATTGAGAAGGATTCTATCTGAACTGTTGCACTGTGAATGCATCTCCAAATGTGTATATTCAGCAATGAACAGTAATCTTCCACACACATGAAAACATCACTAAAGTCTTAAAATAATATGTGGAAACACCATCAAAGTATATGTAATGTATTTCCTTTCTTACTGATCAATGTAACATGCCAAGTAATTTCTACTAATAACAGCAAAAACTTACCAAAGAGATTAAAGGAGAGCTGTTGTAAAAATTGGCAAAAATAATCTGGATGAAATGAAAGATTTCACACATTAAGAACCCAGTGAACTTATAAAATGTACAGACAAATTCAAAACAACATAAAACTATGTGACACTTTGACCCTTTCACATTCAGCTTATTTTCCAAGTACCTGACCTAAAATACTCAGGCAAATTTGGCTAAATTTAAAACTCTTACTTCAAAAAATTGCCAAAAATACAATTTTGGGCAAAAACATATGAAAGAAACTACACTTATTCACTTTAAACAGCAGATTTAAACAAAATAAGCCTACAAGTGCTAAAACTACAAATAACTTGAAAAACTGAAAATTAAATATAGAAATTTAAAATTTACATAATTTAGGCAACAAATAAAATAGCCTTTTTGGTCGTCTTTTCTCGTCACCAAGTCTGTAAGAGAGAGAATATTTTTCTGTACATTTTGATATAAGTTTAATGCATGAAGAACTCTCTGGTCCGGAACTGCATCACATGTAAAACAATGCAGACATACCTTTTGCAGTTAGCACCTGTGTTTTAGTGAAGCATTCTCCATGCAGCCCCGTGTTGCATCTTGTGCATACTGTTCTGGCTTGTATCGATACCTTAAAATTGACTTACAGCACTAATGAGATGAAATAAGTCATATCTCATTAGTGTTGTAAGTCAGTTAAGGTATTGGTACAAGGAAACAAGAAGAGGTAAAGGTGATATATGTCAACAACTACAGGGTGTTTATTTTAAATATAGGTACAGTACTGTAATATAGCCACAGCTAAACTCATCCTGGACCATGGAATTACAGATTTGAGAGGTCCAACATATTTGAAAGAAGTCCAGCAACGTTCCCCCTAAACATCACTGGACTCCTACCATACTACACAGCGTCACATCCCAGAAGATAGCATTCTTCATGTTTACTTAGTTAGTTAGTTAGTTATTTAGAGAGGGTGGGTTTCCCCATGCACCGCGACCAGTTTGATCTATTGTGCTTCCCTCTATGATATTCTACCAGTCTCTATACCCTACTGATAAATGGTGCGTACCATCAGTCCCGCCGAGCAAGCGAGTTCGGCCACTTGCTTAGCGGTGTCTATAATGCTTCCCCCATCTATCAGAGGCCTTAGAGACTATTTTTGGGCGGGAAACGTCCTGGAATTTGGCTCAGTGATCCCCTTTGGGGATATGAGGTTCTTTTACGTGCCGTAAAGTTACGACACGGGACACACAACTTAAAGTCCCTCCCGGAGGACTTGTTCCCTGAATTTTTCCGCCCTTAAAAATTCAACGACCTCCGCTGGGTATTTGAATCCACGTACCATGAGTCATGAGTTGGGAATTCGTGTTTACTTAGTAATTTACCTCTTGTATATTGCAATAATAAGACCGAGTAATATGCTCACAGTTGATGGATGGGACTGTTGAGATTCTCAGACAGTCACTGACACTGCGCACTTGGCCTGCCTGTTCCTGTGATGCAGCCAGCTGCTCCCAGCAAGTCAGTTGAGGCCTCACTGTAATCGTCCATGGATTACTCCCTCAGTCAGCAGTTGTGCGAGCATGTTCTACTGACATAGGGATTCAGACATCATATAAGCTGTAAAGTGATGCGTAACAAGTAATTGTAAAAGTAAAGCTATCTTTCTAACAGCCCATAGACACCCATAGGGTTGTGAGACATTGAAGCTCCCACATTTTCTAGACACTTGGCTCACAGATGGCAGTAGGTTGTCAGCCTTACATGCTGATCTCACTTTTTCCCAGGAAGATTCCTAATACTCATTTCTGTTAGAGGCTGGGTCAACCCCAGGACCATAGTGTGGCTAGAAGGATCAGATCAATTGAAAAATCCAATGACCTCATCAGGAATTGAACCCATGACCTTTGGGCTTGTAGTCTTGTTGCCTCAACCAACTACACTGCCATGTGCTCCAACACGTAATTCTGCACATGTGAATGTAATAAGCCAGCGGCTAGAATCCAGTAGGATGAATGTAATAGTAATGGATAACAGTTTTAATCTTTGACACATAAACAAAATTGTGACATACCATGCACTGGACTTGACTGAAATAAAGCTGAATGTTTGTAGGATGCCCCACCAATGGTGTCTCCACCTTATTGTGGTGTTGGGGTTTGAGAGACCCTGAGAGTTACGCTGGCAGTGGTGTGGCTACTGGTAGTGTCACTCATACCAGAGAGGTGAAGGGGTAGGAGGCAAATGAAGAGGGATAACCTGGTCCTCCAGGTTGAGAGTTTGGCTTGAGGCTAACAGCCTCACACCGTAAAAACTGAATTGTTCAGAAACCAGATAATCAGCCTCAGACTCAGGTTGAGATGGTGGTAGGATGTACATGATGATCTCTGTAAAATGAAAGTAGAAGGATGAAGAATAGAGAAGAATGGAGGCAGATTGTTCAGGAGGGCAAAGCTCACCCTGAGCTGCAGTGCTGAGGGGAAGGAGGGAAGGAGTGAAGGATGCAGTGCTAAAGCCCAACACATAACTGTGGAAAATGTTACCCCCCCCCTCTCCTTCCCTCACAAGTTGACATGAGGAATGATTTGTTTCAGAGACAGGTGATCCAGAGGCTAGGCTCAGGTCCTAGTGATGGAGAAGCTATCAAAGTTCATCCCTTCTTCAAGCTCATAAATTGGGCTGACGTCTTAGGTAGAAAGTTAGAACCACCATTCAAGCCTGCATTGGTATGTACATTGATACAAGCTTCTTTATAAAATATGCCACTCTTCTGCAAATATAAATTTGATAACATTTGACTTTGTTGTAATAAGTGATATTCTGTAACTGTGGTGTGATGTGTTTGTCTTAGAGGTGTAAGTCATTTTGTACCATCATGTAACGATTTTTCACAGATTACAAAAATTTAAAAATGCAGTTTCTCTTATCTACAAGGTGGTTCAAATATGACCGGGACTGATTTTTTTTTAAACCATAATTGCCAAACACTTACTTACACATGTCAGTCTTCAACGTACTCCCCTCCAGAGTCAACACATTTTTTCCAATGTTCTGGAAGCATCCTGATGTCCTTTCCAAAAAAGGCTTGTGGTTGGTGGCGTATCCACTCCCGAACAGTCTGGATGACAGCGTCATTGTCCACAAACCACATGCCTTGCAAGTCTGATTTGAGCCTTCCAAACAGGTAGAAATCACTTGGGGCCAAATCAGGACTGTGTGAGAAGGTTCCATTTCAATTTCCGGAGGGTTTCCATTGTTGTTTTGTCCGTATGGGGGCATGCATTGTCTTGAAGGAAGGCTACCTGCTTTCTACCTGTCTTCCCCTTGGATCGGACCTTTTCCTTCATGCCTGTTGCCAGGAGGTCTGTGTAATAAGCTGCATTGACCGCATTTTTATATGCATTTTGAGTTGGCCAGACTTTATGTATGAAGTTTTTGGCCCTGGTATTGTCACATGGAGTCTCACTTTGAGTTCCAACATCCTAACACAACAACCAGTGAGAAATTCCTTATGGCTTCATGACAGGAAGGGAGCTGGTGTTCTATGAAATACTTTCTCATGTAGCTTGTTAGAGGGTGTCTTGTATGGGTGGTTGAAGTTCCTGTGAGCATAATAGCCCCTCTCAATGCCACATTGCCAAGCCAAAGATGTCCATCTCAGGTAGCTGCCATGATTCTCAGAGCTTATATGCAGCAGTTGCAAGGTTATGAGGTTTATCTTCCATTAAGCATACATTTTATTCAGAGTTTGTGAAAGCACCCAGACGTTGGTTTTCCCATCTGTGCAAGATTTTCAGTTTCTGTTTGAAATTTAAGAAGAATCTTTCGTGATGTTATGCACTCTTGACGCTTTTCCATTACAGTAAGTTGCACTTGACTGTGAGCAACAAGGTCTTAGAGGAATAAAAAGTGATGTTAGCTACAGAATTTGTTTCCTACCCTGACATCAAACTCTTTTCCCCATAAAGGAGTTAACTTCAAAGGGTTGAAACCCATGTGCCTGGCTGCATCAGGGTAGCGGGGTAAAAGCAGACGTAGATACAAAAGTAGTGACTGCAGTAGGATTGTAGTTATATTTAAGACCTATATTAGTATATCACAGGAAATGGTGGCATCAGTGTGATCTGGTCATTGTTAGGCCGCGTTGCTAGCATGATAGGAATCATCATCATAAAAGTCCACTTGCAGAAAATACGTACATGATGGTAAAATAGTTACTATAGGATTCTGACGATGGTGTATAACACACTGATATGTTGGGATTTTGGACTTTATCCATCGTCCTGGTTTTTAAGATAACAAATAAAAACACGACGTTTCGGAAACTGGATCTGTTTCCGTCCTCAGGTGAAGGAAAACACCTATTCAGTTGGGTCCCTTAGAAAGATCCAGTTTCCGAAACGTCGTGTTTTTATTTGTTATCTTAAAAACCAGGACGATGGATAAAGTCCAAAATCCCAACATATCAATGATGGTAAAAGTGTATATCATTTTTAGATTCAGCATTCTGCAGTTACTAGAAAATTATTCTTATTCTAGAGACAACATATTCATTGCAGACCAGTGTTATTATACACTCTTTGTATGGAGTGCATGAACTGAACCTCTTTTTTGGAGAGATCATGTTATTAGCATATTTTGATGGAGTTTTATATCAGAGAGTTTATACTTAGACAAAAGTTTTGTCAGAATGCTCTTCAAGCACATCTGACACTGCATTCATGGTGTGTGACCAAGCCCCGTATTGTCAAAAAACAAATTTTGTCTGAAATTAGCACCCGTTCCCTGAAGAAATGGAATAAATTCTTGAAGAACATGGGCGTAATGATAAGGAGTCACATTATCATTGAAGAAATTGACATGGCCATACCATATGTTTACAGAGCAGATCACACTGCACGTTGTTCTGGGTGAAACAGTGTCTTCATTACAGTATAGAGGTGCTCACTGCCCCACACATGCACCTGTATTCCACGTGTTTACTTACCCATTCAGATGAATATTTCAGGGTACTCCTGGATTATCCTAAAAAGAAAGCAACTTTAAATCACTACAGAAGTTACCTCTCCTGGCTCTATCAGCCCCATGAAAGGCTTGCTGCATTTGAATTTTGTACAGAAACAGTTACACATCTTCTCAAATTGCCCTGTATCTTGATGCTCCAAAGTTGAATTGTTGAGAAGGAGATTTTACAGATTTCCTGGGACTCAGCGCCAACACATGCTCAATACATTGAATGTTTTCTGATGTTATGAGAGATTTTTTTCTTGCCGGCATCACCCTTCTTATTGTCTATTATGCTACCAGTCATTCCAAACTTGTTAACTTTTCTGTTTATTGCCGTCCTGCTTAAAGCTTTCCTGCACTCAGATTTCACTTGGAATTCACTTTGAGTTTTCTGTTACATTTGTGACGTGAAAATTTGTATCAGCTAAGAAATGGCATTATGTCCTGGTTAAATTTTATTGTGATTAATATTTTTTTGCCAGCACTTGGTCTTCAGGTTAACCACATGGGAAACATAATATCATCCTAAATCATGCTGAAAGCAAAATATCAACAAATGAATGAAAAGCGATGAACCAGAAATCCAGACATGGCTGGGAACTATAAACTAAAAGATATTATATTAGATATAAAATAGCATATAAATGAAAGTAGGCATCATTCTAGTACGTTCATTACATCACTACTGTTATTTGTTATGTCATCTTAAATCAGTCATAGTAGTGTCTAATGTCATAGTGTTGCATTAAAGTCCTCTCGGGTGATCAGCTACATCAGTATGAGGCCAGTGTCCAGTGTTAGGAGACTATCCGTCTCCATTATCAGCAGTCCACATGATGGGTGTCACATCTGCATGTTGCATTTATGCCCACGGAGTAGGCAAGTACAGTATGTGGACATGACATTTCCACATCAACCCCTGATGATGGAAATGGAGACAGTCTCCAAAACACTGGATTGTAACTCCATATTGATGCAGCTGATTGGTGCTCACCAGTTGCTGCCAGTCACTGTTCATCTTTCAGATCAAGTCTCTATGTTGTCTTGCAGGCAGGAGAGGATGATGTTTCACAGTTTGATACCAAATTCACAAAGCAAACTCCAATAGACTCTCCAGATGAATCAACTCTCAGTGAAAGTGCAAATCTTGTGTTCCAGGTAATGTATATACTTTATTATGTATAGCAGTATTAATCCTTGCACTGCTAAGCCCAACTGTAGAACCACCTGGTAGAAATGAAATGCTGATATTTATTTTGAGCCATGAGTGTCTGTGAGGATTTATATTTTGTGTGATGGGACCACCTCTGTGGTGTAGTGGTCAAAGTTCCTACCTACATATCCAGAAGTCTGGGTTAAATTCCCAGCGCTACCAGATTTTCTAAAAAGTAGTTGATCTGGAACGGGGTCCACTCAGCCTTGTGTTGATAATTGAGGAGCTATTTCAAGGAAATAGTGGCTTCAGTCTAGAAGACCGAAATTAACGCCATGGGGATTCATTGCGCTGACCACGTGGCACCCTCTATCCGTTAAAGTTGGCTTTAACTTCACTGACAAGTGGCGGTCACTCAGTCGGTATAGTTCACTTGCAGACTCAAGGCATGGAGTTTGTTTGTAGTTTGTGATAAAGATTAATGAACTTAATTTGAAACTATATGTTGCGTGATGGGACCACCTCTGTGGTGTAGTGGTCAAAGTTCCTGCCTACAGATGCAGAGGTCTGGGTTCAATTCCTGGCACTTCCAGAATTTCTGAGAAGTAGTTGGCCTGGAACGGGGTCCACTCAGCCATGTGAGGATAATTGAGGAGTTGTTTCAAGGAAATAGTGGCTTTGGTCTAGAAAACCGAAATTAACGGCCATTGGGATTCGTTGTGGTGAGCACGCGACATCCTCTCTCTGTCAGCTAAAGTTGGCACTAACTTCGCCGACAAACAGCGGTAACTTGATCGCTGTAGTTCACTTGCAGACTGAAGGCATGGTGTTTGATTGTTGTTTGTGATAAAGGTTAATGAACTTAATTTGAAACTAAAGGGCGTTAATCATTGAGGAAACCTGGCCACAGCGCTAAGTGGCCACAACATTCCTCACAGATTGCTTCTGTAACTGGCGATAGCAGAATGAGTAATTAGCGCTTAACAAACGTGCGCACTCTCACTAGGGTAGAGTGGATGGAATGTTTCTCTGCAACTACTGTGCCACTCCCCCCCACTAGTGAGGGTGCAGTTGTGTCACTGATTCCCTCACATCAGTTTCTGTACATGCACACATTTGTAGGAATACTGTAAAAATGTAACACACACTTACCGTGCTTTATAACAGGTGTTGGAAGTGACCCCCTTCTACTTGCAAACATGCCTCGCATCGCATAAATAAATTATGCAACACTTTCTGAAGTTGGTCCACAGTAACTGAAACAATTAGGTGTGTTATTTCATTCTGCAGAGCTTCAGTGGTGCAAGGATTATTCTTGTAGACTTCTCCCTTTAGGTTTTCCCAAAGATAAAAATTGCAAAATCTGAGATCTGGGGATCTGGGAGGCCACAGTTTCCTACTGATTACTTTGTCTTCGAACACTTCCCATATTGCGACCATGGATGTATTAACTGTATGTGCTGTAGCGTTGTCTTGCTGAAAATATCCATATTGTCTTTCCTCTGCAGTCAGCTGATTGAAGAATGGAGCCCCAGTACCCATTGTTAGGAGGTGGGTGGACCCCAGAGCCGATCTGGATGACATGGAGAAATGAAAATTCTTTACCCTACTAGGGCTTAAACTCTGACCTCTCTGTTGTCCAGCCCATAGCCAGTTGGTATAGCAACTGGCTCTATATATACACAGTAAATGCTTGATAATCAGGTTACAGTTAATCCTAATGCCGAATAACCCAGATCAAAATATGGATAATAAAAATTGCTGATCACAATTGAGTACATATCAGACACATTGCATTTAGAAAGACAGATGAGTCATTTACCTGTTCAGACAAAAGTTGACAATTTCTTCAAACCTGCATTGTTACTGCCAGAAAAAAGTACAACTTCTGAATCTTCTGTTGATGAATAAATGTATTGTCTTTTTATAGTTTTTAAATAAAGGGTCAACAATGATATTTTGTTATTTTATTTTCATCAGCACTGCTTATTAAATTCTCCTTTTATTTATGTTCTACGTAGTTTGTCTTTTGGGGTTATCTTTTGCTTCTCTAATCTGGATTGTAACTTAATCTGGATGACCTCAGCCTCTTCAAGCAAATGCCAGGATAGTGCCTGTGACCACATCCTTTCCAATTCATCGTTCATTGATCGTCCTACGTTTGAGTCTTTATTTTAAAACTATACATCATTCATTCTTTTTATATATACATATCAGTTGAGTTTGTTATTCGGGGTTAATCTCTGAATACTTAGCTACGTTCGTAAATTTGCGAGCCCCATATATTTCACATGTTGATGCTTGATAATCGATTTCAAGAACTAAGTTTAATTATAAATTTTCTTGTAGCCAGAAGTTACAAATCAGTTATCAGTAAATCCTAATGTAGCAATAAATTTTTATGTTCTGGATATTGGGTACAATTACATTTGTTCTGCTATTGTTATTCCTGGGTTTTGTTTCAGGGCTTCACGTATGTGGCTCCGTCAGTGTTAGAGGAGATGTACAAACCTCCACGTATAGTGAAAGCTCGCTCCCCACGAAAATCGGCTTACCCCACACCTGCAACGGCTCTGCGTAATCCGTTTAGTCCTCGGCATCACCTCTCACCTGCTTCTGGCTTTACATTTGGAAGCCACAACTTGGGGTCACCACTTGACAGTGCCAGCTGTCAAGAAGAAATGATGGAAATTCAGGGCCTACCTCATGTATAGTGAGTTTCAATTTGTTTGGTACATACAGCTGGGGTGGAGTAGTTTTACTATGTGGCAGTATGAAAATTTACTTGGGGATATATGCGTTTAGATTACCGATTTGTCCACTGAACTCTGGATATACTGGTCAAGTAACTTTGGGCTTCAATGTTAGTTACTCTTTAATTTAAAGAAATACTAATGTAGTGCCTGTTTAGGATTCAGGGGGATCTTGTCACTTGTTGCATAAACTTTCATACTGTTAACTTACGCTGCTTTCTCAAGTATTCATTTCCAGCCCTACATGTTACTGTGTGATACATCAAGGCTGACGTTTCTGCTACCTCCCACAAATGACATGCACAAACAGTTAGCTGTAAACCATCTCCTTTATATAGTAATGGTGTAGAAGATGAATGCATATAGGATATTGATGGGAAAACCTGGAGGAAACAGGGCACTCGGAAGACTGAGATGTAGGTGAGCGGACAATATTGAAACGAATCTTAGAGAGACAGGATTGGGTGGTGTCGACCGAATCACTCTAGCTCAGGATAGGAAGGGGGGGGGGGAGGAAGTGAACCTTTGGATTCCATAAAATGCTGGGAAGTTCTTGAGTAGCTGCACATTTGGTGGCTTTGCAAGAAGAGCTCAGCTTCATGAAGTTATTCAGTTATTTATATATATATATATATATATAGACACACACATCTGTATATGTACGTGTATGTACATACTTTGATACAGAGAATATGTAAAGGGGTAAAATTTTTCTCTTGTTGTGTCTGTTACATGCGTGTAATGTGGGAAATATTTTCAACGGGAAACATTTTAGAGAGGTAGACTGTACGTAAAACATGGAAAATATTTATTTTTAATGTTTCCCTAAGTCGTGTGTTTTTAAAGGGTTTCACTGTACATTCATTGTTTTCAGAATGTTGCTCTAGTGAATCTTTTCAAAATATATATGGATTTTGTAGCTACAGTGTGTTGTTTTGCAAGTTTAGGCCCATTTGGGAACATCAGATGCTCCTCATATCATGTTGGGTCAACCCCTAACACATATGTTTAGTTTGTGGTTATTGTGAGCTTTTGCTTTGTGTGCTGTGATATCACATGAGACTAATCATGCCCCTTCCAAGAAATATGAAAATGTGACTAATTGTGTTGGTAATTCTCTCTGCAGGCGTAGGTTTGAGTGTAGACGCAACAATTTGAAGAAGACATTATGTTTGAACATGTGGTTTTGTTGTGCAGAGCTTCAGTCTTTTTTTTTTTTTTTTTTTATTTANACCAAATACAGCTGATGGAGTGCTGCAGCTTAAGTGATGAGGACAAGAGGTGTAGGAGTAACCAGCCAACCAAAAAGTGTTCAGAAATTCAATATAGAAGGTTCTTCTGTGGCCTAACTCAAAACCCAACCACCTGCATTTTGATTACTGATGTACTCACTCCATGGTGCTACTTGATGACACATTGCAGCATTATTCTGTATGTGTGCCATGCTCCATGGCCTAGTCTGGATCCTTGGAGTCTTACTGGTACATGCAGGGATAGAGACAGACAGTGGAAGGAATGTGGCCATGAAATTCATCTCCTGTTACCAGTTTTTTTTAAGCCACCCTGCTTCACCCTGCTGAATTGGTGGCTTGATATGCTTTGTTGTTCATGAGCTAGTATCATGCTTTGGTTGGTCATGTTCAGTTAGTACCATCTGCTAGTTCCATTGTGTTATGATGGGAAAATTGTCATCCAGGCAGTAAATTTCACCTGCATCATTTGACTGATGCACCACTACTTGTCTGCCGGCTGACTTTCCCCTCACTGACAATTCCTCACCAGCTTGATGGATGTGGTTTTCTTTTTATGTCACCTCCATGGTTGGCTTGGGTATCAAGATATATAGTCATTTACCAGCTGTGCTGGACCAACCACAACATGCTGCAGGGAATGTATAGAATGAAGATTACAAGTTCTTACATTGACGCCAAGTAATATAATCACTGGGTCTGATTGCCACCTTGTGGTGACATTTGTTACTTTCAAACGAGTTGGGAGACAGAATCAATCCAAGTTTTGTGAAGATTTTACTAGGATAATTGTATAGTAAATTAATTTCTGTACAGCATATCATGTGAATGGATGATGATTGTAAGATTGGTGATTACTGTGTGTGGGTGTGACAGCCTTATATTCTTTTTTATATACGTATTTTTATCTTGCATAGACCCATAAGAATGATACTGAAAATCATATTGCGGAATTGTGTAATAATTTTTGGATACTGAGATTTAAGTAAGTGCTGCAGTCGATATAAATTGTTGCAAAGATACAGTACAGGCACTTCTTGATTTATGTGAAGGTTGTGTTCCAAAAAGAATTGCAGAGTACAAAATCACTTAAACTGATTGTAATTTCTTTTCCTTCTCTCTTCTGTTATTCCTCTGCCATCAGATCAGTCTAAATTATTTGAGCGCATTGAAATTAAATGTAATTTCATTAACTTGCACAAAAAGAGAAGAACCTGTATACTGTGGAAAAAATTAACTTATTAATTAATAATCAATTCATGAGTCATTGTGGTTATAATACTGCTAATAAATTCCAAGTAGAATTAAGAAAGAATGAGGACACAGAGGCACTGAGGTTCGTGGGACTAACAGAATGTCCAGACAGGGTATTAACCCAAATAAATTCCTTTGACAGTCTAGGTGCAGGGCTTTGCATTTGCATTGGCATATGTCTCCGATGTTGGTTGAACTGAAGCTCCTACTATGGTATATTGGAACTAAATGCTACAATCCTTTTGTTGTATTTTGTACTAAAAGTTTGAAGTTTTCATCAAGAGAATGTCATATTGTGCCAACTATGTGTTATTGGTTCCCTTTATGTCGCATGCCTGAAAATGACTAGCACACCAATGGACATGTAATACCATCTAGAAATCTGTATTTCTTTTATTCTAAATATGTTAAAAATTTTTGTTACAATTTCAGAGTATTGTGGGTTATAATGCCATGTAATTCATAGGGAGCCTGGCATTTCGGAGGAACATATCACCTCCATTCTTAGGATTCTAGAGTAATCCTGAAGACTAAACTTCTAAGTTACCATTGTGAAAATCTCAAATCCAGCTGTTAAAATCTGATCAACTTTTGAAGCTCTGGTTAATGTAGAAACCTGACATGGCACTGTCTGCAGTTTAGAAACCCCAGATATGAAAGGGTCAGTGTTATTGCCATAGAAAGCTCACGTCATATTACCTTATTCTGACACTTTTATTCAGGAGTGAAGCCATGCATTCATTAGTTTTTGTTGCCCAGCATTTATTCCATGTGTTTGTTTATGTACTCGAAACAGTTTGTATCATGACCTGTAAACCAACCAGTTACAGATGGGCAATATAGAATTAAAACAATCTGACACATTTTTGTTAAGGGGCAGAATTACATTATTATCACTAATGTCCAGAGATCATTTGAATTAATGTTCAGCTAGGTTACAGATAATTTTATTGTACCCTTTCATATGTTCAGTCTTTCTGATGAATCTTTTATCAGTTCACATGAGAGCCTTACATACATTTCTAAATTCTGTACTTCACGTGTTTGTTACTATGTGAATGTTTAAGGACATATTTTTGGCAGTTTTTGTATTTTAAACATGAAACTTCTTGTGTTGTTGACCGGCCTGTACACAGTATTAGCCAAACTGTAGCTAGTGTTTTTAAACATTTTAAGTGCTAAAATTTCATTCCTAGTTTTCAGAGTAGAAGCTGGGTGGGTCTTTACCGCCAAAGCCTCCGTACACTTTGATATATGATTCTTAGACTCACCTCCATTATAAAGGTACAGAATGAACCTGGAAGGATTTCTGCATGTTAATATTTTTTGGAATATTGTTTATAATTTTGATCACTTTGTAATTATGACAGAGTTATGGTTTGAAAGACTGTATTTGCTTTCATTATAATATCTTAAATTTTGATACTCAGTGAATTTGGTGATTGATAAATATTCAGTCACAATATGTCTGTGTCCGCCATACTTTGGAACACATTGAAGATTACCGTCTTATGGGATGTGCTGGTTTGAAGATTGTTGTCAGTGTTTCAGAGAAAGATGCTACCTCCATCTTCAAGGTAGAAGAGTAAACTAAACATGAAAGATGATACAGATATAGGGAGAGAGAGGGCTGGTTGCTCTGCAGCAACAGGTTCCTTCTGTATTGTGGTCATGATGTACATGGTGTCATCCCAGAGGATAGTAATATTCTTGGTCACTGCCATGAGAGACTCAGTTTGCATGAAAACACATTTGTGATGTTTAATGTATCATCATCATGCATCCATGATTCCACTGCAGTCCTCTTATGAAAGCCTCCTCTCAGTATCATGTAAACATCCCTGTTATATCTGCATCTGCCATTTCCTTTTTCTCTGTTCATTTACTGACTACACATTGTCCTTCGTCTCTATAATTGGTTCTTATTCATCTCCATTTTCACTCTAGGCTTCATTTCACCAGTTTTGCTTTCTTATGGCCAATATCTTGATTTCAAAAGTTCTGTTTTTGGGATATAATCATGTGTAGTCCATTGAATATCAGCCACGTTTTGGAGGACAGGTTGCCTCCATCTTCAGGGTCTTTCTTGGCCTATTTAACACTGAAGATGAAGACTACATATCCCTCTGAAATTCTGGTTGAGTCTCAGCGGACTACATGGCATTATATCCCAGAGGATGGGATCTTCATAACCACCACTGTGAGAACCTCAAATTCTATATGGATACAATGAAGTCTTTACGATTGATCACCTGTGTCAGTGCCTGATGTATCATAGACTGTACCTGTCTCCAAAGGACTTAAAAGCACATTGTAAATAGGACCAGCAGCTAGGAACAGGAATTCAGATGACTGACTGACTGCTTCTCTCATGGTCAGCACTGAGATAGAACATCACTGAGCATCTAACTCTGCCCACCATTCTGCTCGCAGTGTGGACTGGGTTGTGCAACACGTACATGTATAAATATAGATTGCAAACACAACGCTCATCACATCAACCACTGATGATGGAGACAGAGACACTTTTTGAAACATCAAACACCAACTCAACACTGACATGGCTGATCACCGAAGAAGACTTCATTCCTTACCTTTGCATCTTTAAAGCTGCTTCCTTTGATATGTTTGATGTCTAATATACCTTTAATCTCCTCTGACATTACTTCATTTCCGAATGATATTTCTTTAAGAATCTGATAAAATTTCAAGGATCCGTGGTTTGTTTCGTAACAGCCAAACACAATATAACTGGGCAGAATGTTTACACATATTGAACAAATATGATGTCTTAAATTTTTCACTCCTTGAATTGAATTTTAAAATTGTTGACTTTTAGTTGACATAGCTTGAATATGGGGACTGTGTGAAGGAAATCCCTGGTAAATTGTACTCTTTGGCCTCTCTTCTGACTTTTCACAGCTGCTGTATAATGCAGAGATATTCCTATGTACTGAATGTCTGGAGGAGTGGCTTTTCTTACGCTGAATCGAGGTTTTCATTAAATAAGAGTTATGTAAAATTAACTTCCTTTTTAAGGTTTACTGTGTATGATTATGATAAAGTACTTTGTTTACATAAGTAGTTAAAGACACTGTTTCTTCACAAATAAGTGTGATTACATGATCAAGAATATCAAATTCATTTCTGAAATAATTAATGGAACCTCAGTCAGGAATCAAAATAGCTGTGATACTGTAAATGTCGTGACTTTTGTGCTTGATCAGTATGTGATGTCACTTAACCAAAAGTTGTGGTTGTGTGATGATGATTTTCAGTAGATGCAGTTCTTGTTGGTGGTGCGCAGTAGTGTTGTTGGTTGAGGCACTGTGCTACAAGCTAGAAGGTCACAGGTTCAATTCCTGATGAGGTCACCGGATTTTTCAATTGACCTAATCCCCAGCCTTGGAGTTGTCTCAGCCTTGATAGAAATGAGTACTAGGAATGTTAGTCTTACCTCCATCTGTGAGCTGATTGTGCAAAAGATATGGGAACCTTGACGTCTCACAAATCTATGGGCCGACACGTCCCATTACAGTGATAACTTTACTTTTACTTTACAGGTCTTGTTAATGTCTTGCTGATTTGACCAGTTTACAGCTGGAACCAGATAAAGTATTCACCGAATATGATATTTCAATAAATGCAGGACATTAAATCAGAATTTCACTGTATTTTTAAATTACGAGTTCTCTGTTTCTGACCTTGAGAACTT